AAGCGCTGTACTGAGTGTGGCGGGCGCATGCGGGCACCCCACTGGGGCCTTCGGTGGAGCTCCCTCGGCCACGAAACGCTGTACTGGGTGTGGCGGACGCATGCGGACACCCCCACTGGGGCCTTGGGTGGAGCTCCCTATGGGGCCACGAAGCGCTGTACTGGGTGTGGCGGTTGGGTGTGCCCCCCCCCCCCCCCGCCCACTGTGCCTTCGGTGGAGCTCCCAATGGGGTCACGAAGCGCTGTAGTGGGTGTGGCGGACGCATGTGACCACCCCCTGGGGCTTTCGGTGGAGCTCCCTATAATGCCACGGAACGTGTAAGGGGTGTGTCGGCATGGGTGTGGCGGGCGCATGTGGTCACCCCCACTGGGGCCTTTGGTGGAGCTCCCCCTGGGGCCACGAAACGCTGTACTGGGTGTGGCGGACGCATGTGGCCACCCTCACTGAGGCCTTCGGTGGAGCTCCCTATGGGGCCACGAAGCGCTGCACTGGGTGTGGCGGACGCATGTGGTCACCCCCACTGGGGCCTTTGGTGGAGCTCCCCCTGGGGCCACGAAACGCTGTACTGGGTGTGACGGACGCATGTGGTCACCCCCACTGGGGCCGCAAATGGAGCCCCCAATGGGGCCACGAAGCGCTGTACCGGGTGTGGCGGGCGCATGCGGCCACCCCCACTGATGATGGCGATGACGATGACGATGACGACGACGATGGCTGAGATGATGATACGGATGATGATGATGCTGATGCTGATGCTGATGCTGATGCTGATGCTGCTGCTGATGATGATGATAATGATGATGATACGGATGATGATGATGATGATGATGATGATGATGATGATGATGATGGTGATGATGATGATGATGATGATGATTCTGATGATGATGATGATACTGATGGTGTTGCTGATGATAATGCTGATGATGCTGATGGTGCTGATGGTGGTGGTGAGGATGATGATGCTGATGCTGATGCTGATGCTGATGATGATGATGCTGCTGATGATGATGATGATGATGATGATGATCATGGTCATGGTGGTGATGCTGCTGGTGCTGATGATGATGATGATGATGATGATGATGATGATGATGATGATGATGATGATGATGATTATGGGAGGAGGGAGGAAGAGAAGGAGGAAGGAATGAGGAACGCGGGGCGCTGTCTCTTCAAAACGAGGGCCCAACACCACAGGATGGTTGGGAATCAGCCATCGGGCTGAAAGGGCCATTTGATAATAATTTGCTGGTGTATTGACAGATGCCCGCCGTCTGTATGCGTGGGCTCTCGCCCGTTTCCCCATGCGTGCACGGCGAATACTCAGAATGTTAGCCCAAGAGGCCCCAAATAGGCCCCCAAGAGGCACCAATGAAGCCCCACAAGAGCCCGAAGAAACCCCCAAAAGGCGCAGAAGAGGCCCTCAGGAGCAAAACGCATCAACCGCTAGTTCCCCAATGGGTCGGCGGTGTGGTGTAAGCCCAAGAAGCATCCATCGGGCTAAACGCTGCACTGTTAAAACGAATGCGCGCGGCGCTCCTGCGAGATCCCAACTTCACAATTTCAAAAGACCAATGCCCCATCCGTGAATCTGTTGCGTGATTTGGGGGGCAGATGTTCGCAGCGCGGAGGCAAGGGCCCTCACGTCAAAAATGAGTCTCGGCCCACCTGTGGGAGGAATGCGACTCTGAACGACGACTGCGCGCGGCGCCCATAAGAGACCACCATGTTGAAGCTGCCCTCCTTTCCTTACGTGAAGATGTTGCGAAGCTTTAAATCAGAATGTGCGCCGTGCGACAGCGATAGTCACATTTTGAAGGCTGCCTCCACTCCAGCCGTGAAGCTGTCACAAACTTACAGCACGACTGTGCGCGGAGCGAGTGCGAGAGCCGACTGTTGAAAACGACCCTCCCCCATTCTTCTGAACCTGCTGCGAAGTTTGCAAGCTCTTCACAGACAGACATGCGTGGTGCTAGGACGAAAGCAGCCGTTTTCCCCAGACAGTGCTTGCAATTCGGGCCTGTTACCTCTCGAAGGACCTGGGCCTGCAACTTGGTCTAGCGGCTGTGGCGTCGTCGCCGCCCCGTTGCCGCCCGCCGTCTGGGCCTGTAACATGGTCTGGCGGCTATTTCATCGCCGTCGCCGGCCCGTCGCCGCCCGTCGCCTTCCCCAAACAATGCTTTACACTCGGGGGCTCTTTCCACAAACGCTGCTTGCACTTGGGGGATCTGGTTCCTCTTCAGAAGGAACTGGGCCGCGTGGTCACTGGAGGCTACGTCGTCGCCGTCGCCGCCCCGTCGCCGCTTCGTTGCTGCCCGTTGTCTGGGTCGTGTGGTCGGTTTGGCGGCTATGTCGTCGCCGTCGTCGCCGCCTCGTCGCTGCCCATCACCGCCGTTGGATTACAGCACATCGGTCGCACGAAAAAGAATCGCGCCTGTGCGCTTTTTGATCGCTCACAGCATAGATTGCACAACGCATATTGCGCAACACCGATTGCACAACGTAGATGGCACAACATATATTGCGCAACCGCATTGATTGAACAACGCAGATTGCACCAGATTCAACACATCGGTAGCCCCACGGAGATTGCACCGCGTAGATTCCCTTTTCAAGGAACAAATATGGGTATACCCCCCGGGTGAACGGGCATTTTTTCGCATTGTTTTTTTTCGCATTCGAGTGTGCACAATCGTCCGTCCGAAATATGAACTCGTATCATCCCAGGCAGTGTGGTTATCGACACCCCTCGTCCCTGTCAATCAATACTATGCGCGCACTCGCTTTCTCGGAACATCAACTGTTTTCAAATGCCCACTGCAGAAAACGGGACGATGTGCACACGCTCGCGTAATGACGCGCGCATGCCAAAATCCATCCGGAATCGGAAGTAGCGTAAGCATTTCAAAATCGAGTGCCCTGAGAACATTAAGAGCCATAGTCAACATATGGTTTCGCAACATGAGTTTTCGAAAACCATATGCGTTTTTTCTAGATCCAAACCAGAGCCATCGATTTTCCAATCGATTCATCATCTTCGACGAAAGTGGCCTCTCGCGTGCGCGTATCGGAATCATTCGAACGCCCTTGCGCGCGTTGTTTCTTTGGGGAGGGGCACGGTCCCTGTCGAATGAGACCATGCGGCCACTCGCGCGCGCTGGCCGCGCGTGCATGTCGACATCTCTCCAACACCCTCATCACCGACGCGTGCACACAAGCATCGTCATCGGCATGATCATCATCGGCGCCGTCGTTGCCCGTGCCGTCGTCATTGCCGCAATCGTCACCGACACCGCTGCTATCATCATTGTGTTTGCCGCTGTTGACGTTGCTATGATGCCACCTCCGCCCGGGTCACCGGCTCGCACTGATATGCCCGCGCGTCAGCGCGGCCTGCGAGACGTGCTGGGGAGTCCCCAGCGGTCAGCGCCACCACGGCCGCGCCCGTCGCGACAAACTAGCTGGCCGCTCTGCGCGCGAGCCTGCGTCGCCCTAGCGAGGCCGCAGCGATGCGCCAGCCAACGCCAAGCAGTCATCGCAGTCGCCCGCGCACGGGTTTTGCAACCCAAGTTGCGGGTGGGTGGGTGAGATGTTTGCGCGAGCACGGGAGTTGACAACTCACTGCGAACAACAAGTACGTTCGCCACGTAGATTGCACAACGTACATTGCACAACGAACGCTGCACCACACAGATTGTTTCATATGTATAGTTCGCAACACATACCCGGCTCCACGTTGATTGCGCACCATGGACTCAGACGGTCTCTTTTCTAGAAAGGAACCATGATCTACCACCACCACCCGAGGCCAGGATAATCGCCCTTGGGGATTTGCAATGTACGTCCGATTCTGCCCCATCGTTCGCTCTGGCTGCGAAATTGGACCATCCGAGCGACTACGGTACCGCCACCCCCACCCTCAACCATCAGCAGTAATAACAAATATGCGCGCGCAGTCGTTTTTCACAATGGATCCAAAGACCCCTCGCAACAAATGGAAAAAGATGATGCGCATGTCCGCGCAGGCATGTCGAAATATCCCTAACACCTTCATCACCGACGCGTGAACACCATCATCGTCATCGGCATGGTCATCATAGGCGCCATCGTTGCCCGTGCCGTCGTCATTGTCGTCATCGTCACCTACACCGCTGCATCGTGTCTGCCATTGTTGACGTCGCCATGATGCCGCGCCCGCCCGGGTCATCGAATCGTGCTGATATGCCCGCGCGTCAGCGCGGCCTGCGAGACGTGCTGGGGAGTCCCCAGCGGTCAGCGCCAGGCCGCGCCCGTCGCGCCGGACTAGCTGGCCGCTCTGCGCGCGAGCCTGCGCGTGTTAGCGCGGCCGCAGCGATGCCACAGCCAGCGCCAAGCAGCCATCGCAATTGCCGCATGGGTTTTGCAAACCAAGCTGCGGGTGGGTGGGTGGGTGGAATGTTTGCGCGAGCATGGGAGGCGCGAGGAAATCAATGTCAATTGCGCCACACAAATTGCACCACATATCTTGCACGGCATAGGTTGCGCAACATGGGTTGCCCCACGTAGATTGCACTACATCGATGGCATAACTTTTGTTGCTAGAAGCAGTTTTTGGTCCATGCTTGCCTCTACGAAGAAGAATCGTCCTCCGTTCGCGAAGCTGTTGCAAACTTTGAGAAACACATGTTGCAAAGGGGCCGCCCTCCATCCGTGAGCTCATGGATCACTTTCAAAACGGCTGTGCGCGGCGCTATGGCGAGAACCACGTTTCGAAAACGGCCCGCCCCCCATCTGCGAATATGTTGCACACTTTCAGCTTCAAGATCAACAACGGTAGTGCGAAGCGCCTGGCCCGCCCTACCCACACGTCTGGGGGTGCGACAAGGAGGAACCATTTCGAAAGAGAAGGACCAGAGAAGTAGCCGGTGGCGGAGGCGGCCGAAGAAAAAGGGGGACGGGGCGGAAGGGGAAGGTGAGGGCGGAGAGAACGGAGGAATGAGGAGGCGGGAAGCGGCTACCTGCCAGCGTCACACGCTACGCAGTTCAGCTCCGACCTGGCGTTTACTTGGTCGCTCCACCTCCCGCGGCAGCGCGGAGGCAGGGGCGGCAAAGCGTTGCTCTGCCTCCTCCGCCCTTCCTCCCTCCTCCCCCGCACCGCCAAGAAGGCGGATGACGGCGGACGAGGAGCAGGACAAGGGGCGGACGGGGAAACGAACACAGAGAAATTGGATGAGGGAGGGACGGGGAGGAGAAGGAGGGAGAACGGTGGAGGAGAGAGAAGGAGAAGGAGGAGGAGGGGACGGAGGAGGAGGAGGAGGGGGAGGAGGAGGAGAAGGAGGAGGGAGACTGGCTGATTCATCCGATGGCGACTCATCCGCTCCGACTCATCCGATCCGCGGTTCGGGTGAACCGCGACCGGATGAATTATACTAGATGAACTAATCACCAGATGAGTTAGCCCAGATGAATTTGTCACTGGATGAATTAGCCCAAATGATTTTGGCACGGGATACATTTGGCACTGGATGAGTTTGGCACCGGATGAATTTGGCACCCGATGAGTTTGGCACCGGATGAACTTGGCACCGGATGAATTTGGCACCGAATGAAATTTGCACCGGATGAGTTTGGCAACGGATGAGTTTGGCACCAGATGATTTTTTCACCGGATGAGTTTGGCACCAGATGAGTCTGGCACTGGATGAGTTTGGCGTTTCTCGTTATAGTGTGGGATCTCGTTAGTTGGCGGGGGCGCCAATGGGGTGATGTCAGAGATTCTTCGACAGACTCGTTTGAAGAGCTGCGCTGTCTAGAAAAAAGAAACAATCTACGCATAAACTTTCGGAGGCTCACGCGGATATCTCGAGTCGGCGCTGGACCGCTCCTGGGTTGGGCCTGGCGCGCGACGAGCGGCGCCCGCCCAGATCGGGGCCCGGTGCCGACGCGAGAGATCCGAGAGGGCTTCCGAAAATGCATGTCTATACGTGTTCATTTTTGCCGATCACTTGGCGTATGCTGCTTCTTCTCCGCATTCCTCGCTCTCCTGCCTATTCCCAGTCGTCCTCCTCCCTCTCGTCCTCCTCCTCCTCCTCGTTTCCATGATCTGTCCTGCTCCTCGTTCTCGGCATCCTCCATGTCCTCCTCGTTCCTCTTATCCTTCTTCTTCTTCTTCTTCTCCTCTTTGTCTCCCTCCTGCACGTCCTCCACATTCTCTCCTCCTCCCTGTCTACCTCCCGCTGAGGGGCAGGCTGGGTGAGTTCGGCGTGTGGAGTTAAAGCACCGGATGAGCTAGGCAACTGTATGAATAGAGTACTGGATGAGCTAGGCACTGGATGAGTTAGGCCTGAGTGGGTTTAATGTCGGACCGCCTGAATTAGGCAACGGATTGAGTTTGGCACCGGATGAAATTGGCATCGGTTGATTCAGGCACTGGATGAGTTAGGTCTGAGGGAAATGAGTCAGGCATCGGATGAGTCAATATCCCGGGCTCTTCTGGTAGGGCTTCTCGGAGCCATCCTGGGGTAGATGGGGGGTGAGAATTTGTTTAACTACAAAACGGTTTGTAGCCAAGCAAATCTAGAGCTACTTTGAGTTATTGTGGGATGTTTTTGAAGCCGATGTTGGGGGTCGTTGCCCCCCGAGGGTGTTCTAGAGGGGTTATTGGGTGCATCTTGAGGCAGAAGGGAGGTGAACTTTTGCTTGACTGCAAGACGGTTTGTAGTCAAACAAATGTTGAGTTCCTTTCGAATTATTTTTCAACACTGTCAAAAATATCGGAAGAGTAAGGGTACCAGATGAATTTGGGCAGCGGATGAGTTAGGACACCGGATGAGTTAAGGCACCGGATGAGGTACTCACCGGATGAGTTTCACACCGGATGAAATAGGGCACCGGATTAGGTAGGGCACCGGATAATTTTGGCGCCGGATGAGGTAGGGCATCGGGTGAGTTAGTCACCGGATGAGTTAGGCAACGGATGAGTTGGTGCATCGGATGAATTAGTCTCCGGACAAGCCTGGTCAACTTGAGGTAATGCGCTGGATGAGTTTGGCCCCAGAGGAGTTAGGGCTCTGGATGAGTTTGACGCCCCGATGAGATAGGCACTGGATGCTGGATGAGTTAGCATCGGATGTTGTCGAAGCCGACGTTGGGAGCTCGCTGCTTGCATAAGCTACTGTGAAGGGCTTCTTGGGTGCGTTTTGGGGCATAAGAGAGGTGATCATCTGCTTGACTACAAAACGGTTTGTAGTCAAGCAAATGTTGAATTACGTTTGAGTTATTTGTGATTGTTTTTTTTTAAGGCGACGTTTGGAGTTCGCTGCTTCTCGAGGTTCTGCTGGAAGGCTTCTCGGGGGTATCCTGGGGCAAATGGGTGGGTAGAATTTGCTTGGCTACAAAACAGAACGGTTTGTAGTCAAGCAAATTTTGAGCTACTCTCGAGGCATTGTTGGACGCTTTGAAGGTCTCGTTCTGGGGGGCTTCCTGGGGCCTGGGGCAGGGGGCTGGATTTTGCTTGACTGCAAAATGTTGTGTAGTCAAGCAAATTTGGAGTTACTTTTGGATTATCAATGGATGTCTTTTCAGGCGACGGTGGGAGCTCGCTGCTTCTGGAGGGTTTCGTGGGGGGTATCCCGGGGAAGATGGGGTGTGACAATCTGCTTGACTGCAAAAGGGTTTGGAGTCAAGCATTGTTGGACACGTCCGCCGAGATGCTGAATGAGTGAGGTTGGATGAGTTTAGGGTCTCCGATGTGTGACGGAGTGGATGAATTCGGCACCGGATGAGTGAGGGTACTGGATGAGTGACAGGGCGGATAAGTTCGGATACCAGAAGAGTTAGGGCATCGGATAAGGCACTGCACCGGATGAGTTCGTAAACGGATGAGCTTGGCACCAAATGAGTTAGGGCACTGGAATTTGTGAGGCACTGGATGAGTGAGGACACCGGGTGAGTTAGGGCATCGGATGAGTTAACTAGGCAACAAAATCAATTAGTGACTGGATGAGTTTGGCACCGGATGAGTCAAGCACAAGGCACCGGATGAGTGCGTCACAGGGTAAACCGGATGATTTTGGCACCGGATGAGTTAGGGCATCGGATGAGTTAGCTACCAGATGAGTTTGACCGGACGCGGTAAATCATGAGTGCTTTAGTTGGGCACCAAATGAATTAGTTACCGGATGAATTTGACCGGATCCAGTCAAACTCATCCGGTAACTAACTCATCCAGTCTATTTCATCCGGTGGCTGATTCATCGATGAATTAGCCACCGGATGAATTAGACAGGATGAGATAGGCAACGGATGAATTACACCGGATGAATGCGACACTGGATGAGATAGGCGCGGAGGAGTTAGGCATCGGATGAGTTTGACCGGATGAGTGAAGCACCGTATGAATCAGCCCGGTTTCGGAGGAGGAAGAGGAGGACGAGGAGGAGGAGGAGGAGGAAGAGGAGGAGGAGGAGAAGGAGGATGAGGATGAGGAGGAAAAGGCGGAGGAGGAGGAAGGAGAGGCGGCGGCGGAGGAGGAGGAGGTGGAGGAGGAGGAGGAGAAGGAGGAAAAGGACGACGGGGGCGGGATCGTCGTCGTCGTCGCCGTCGCCGTCGCCGTCGTCGTCATTCCTCCTTGCCTCCCCGTGTTCATCCTCTTTTACCTCCTCGCCACCCTCCTCCTCCCCCTCCTCCTCTTCCTCCTCCTCCTCCACCTCCTCCTCCTCCTTCCCCTCTCCTTTCCTTCCTCCTCTTCCTCCTGCTCTTCCTGATCCTTCTCCTCCGCATCCTCCTCCTCCTCCTCCTCCTTCGTCCTCCGCCACCATGGGCTACCTCCCGCACACCCATCCACGCAATTGACTACCAAAGGGCTGTCTATTTGCGGGGGCGGGGGACGGCAGTCAAAAGTGCATTGGATGCTCTCTTGTGCGCGGGTGTCTCGGGCGGGGGGATCACACGAATAAATCTACAGTTGGCGGCGGGCTACATGGTCCCCTGTGCCTGACATATTGCTCGGGCGAGGCGAAAACGTACAGACTAGCTGTTGGCGGAAAAAAGGAGGGTGACGATTGGGCGCGCTGGAAACGCAACAGCCTGCCCCAAACCAGGTCTTCTACCTGTGCCCTCCTTCTCTTCCACGGCTTTCCCCCTTTTTCCTTCCATCTCTACCCCCTCTTCTCCTTCCACGTCCCCCCCTCCCCCTCCTCCTCGTCCCCTCTTTTCCTTCTCCTTATCCTCCTTCGCCTCCTCCCACTCTCGCTTAGTTCCTCCTCTTCCTCTTCCTCTTCCTCCTCCTCATCCTCCTCCACCTTCTCCTCCTCTTCCTCCTCCTCCTCCTCCTCATCATCATCATCATCACCAGCATCATTACCATCACCATCACCATCACCATCACCATCACCATCACCATCACCATCACCATCACCATCACCATCACCATCACCATCTTCACCTTCACCTTCACCTTCACCTTCACCATCATCATCATCATCATCATCATCATCATCATCATCATCATCATCATCATCATCATCATCATCATCATCATCATCATCATAACCATCATCATAACCATCTTCATCTTCATCATCATCATCGTCATCATCATGTTCACCTTCATATTCATCATCATCATCATCCTCATCATCGTCATCATCATCATATTCATCTTCATCTTCATCTTCATCTTCATCATCATCATCATCATCATCATCACCATCACCATCACCATCATCACCATCACCACCACCATCACCATCACCATCACCATCACCATCATCATCATCATCATCATCATCATCATCATCATCATCATCATCATCCTTTTCCTCCTCCTCCTCCTCCTCCTCCTCTTCCTCCTTCCATTTTCGCCTGGTAGTCGAAAGCGGGTCTGTGCGCGCGCGCGCTCGATGCCACCCCGCTGACCACGACGAACCGCGAAGATGATGTAGAGCGCCGCGAACGCGCCTCGTGCGGCTAAGCCAGCGAACGCCGAGCGAAATCCGGCGGCGCATGCAGCGCTGTCCACGCCGAAGGCGGTCTGGCCCGCAGCTGCAGCGCCGTCTCGCGCTGCAGGCCAACGTTG